AATCCTTCAGCACTGACTTGCCTGCCTCATGGAATTACTGGCACACATTCAAACTAGATAACTGCGTCACCAGACAGATTACAAAACATGTCTCTGATAGAAGCAGACTTATTACAGTTTTAAAAGCTGACTCCTATGTAGGTCACTGTCCTCACAAGCCATGAGACACTGCTACATACAAGAAGAAGGGGCAGGAAAGGGTGGGATGTGCTCAGCTGACTTTCCTGCAGGCCCCATCACTGCCCTCTAGTAGTTCAACACAACCTCATCTTCTCTCTTCTCTGCTATGCACCCAGTCTTTAAACTGGGAAAACAAGTCAACACATTTATCTAGATTTATAATAATACACCTGTAAAACTGTTTATACAGTCAGAACACATCTACTAATCTTATTTTCTTTCTGGCAGGTATTTGAACATTTCTAGCCCCAGTCACTTTACAGCTCGATATTATCCATTATTCCCCTCACTACCAGGGTGTGAACCTCAAAAAATGTAAATAAGAAATAAGAAATGCTGAATTATACTGGTCAAAAAACCAAAAACATTGGAAGTTGGTATCAAACCTATTTTTAACAATATTTGGTAAGACATAAACATTTTAACATTGCATTAAATTTAGTGTTCAGTATAAAGTGAAAAGACGAATAACTGTACCATAAATTTCCTTACAGCACCTAATTTTAAATGGTGCTGCCCCAAATGAATCTGAAATATGAAAACATTTTTGCTAAAGACTAAAAAGCCAAAAATAAATATATGTAAAATGGCTGCTATTCTAGGATCCTATAATCTGATCTCCTACATGCAAAATCCAGCTATTTTCACTGGAAATATCTCTATATTTTACACAAACCTGAATCAGTGATGCCCACTAATAAGCCCCATCCCAGCAAACATGTCAAACTGCCACTCAGTTATTCAATATGTGATATTAAGCCAGAAGGGAAAATGAGGACAAGAGGAGGAAAGAAGTTACACAAGGAATTATTACAGTGGTTCTATTAAAACCAGAAGTGTATGAGCTGAAAAAGAGCAGAGGTAGCAGGTAAGGAGCATCACTGTGCCAGTGTAACACCTGTAAAGCCAATGCCTGTCATTGGCACTTGGCCCCAGGGCTTCAGCAAATGCACATCAAGCTGTACAGCAAGGAAAAGTCAGCTTACAGGCAGCCTGAAGGAGGGCTGCCAAGTTACAGCAGTGTGATTAAAGCAGTGAAAAACATGTTTCTGTGTCATAAACATATTGACAGCCATGGAGACTCCTCACTGCAAGGGCTACTGAGGACTCTCAGACCTGGGTGGTGGAGCTATGGGCTATGTCTGTGGGACCACCTGCAGGCTGAAGGCCATTCAATCCACCCAACAGTTACAAATTATGTTTCTTTATCAACTCTAGAGTTTCCACTGGACATTGGCAGGGCTTTGCAGCAAAGTCTTACAGAGAAATGCTAAGCAGCTCTTATTAGTTCATCTGAAATAACAGTGAGAAGAAGCATCACAAAAGGCCATGAATCCTCAAAACCACAACTCCTACCCATAAATAAAGTTCCTTTCCTTCAAACGATGAATATCAGTTATATTTGAAATATCAAAATTATATCATCACCTTAAAAAAAAAAAAATCAAGCTGAGATAATTCACAGAGGACGTTTCACCTGTGTAATTCTTTCCAGAGAGACCAGAGAGGCTGTTACTGCCTGGCTGCTCTGCTCTGCCCTGCTTGAAGAGGTGTCACTAGAGGCCAGCCCCCAGGCACAGGAGCCTGTAGCTGTTATGTAAGGCAGGCAGTTCTGCAGTGCCAAAATCTCAGTGTCTCAAAGCACTTTGGCAGACCATGAACAAAGTTTTACAGAAGCAATATCAGGTAGTAATTTTTATCTAGAGACAGCAAAACTGAGCCAAAGAAAAATTAACAGACACCTGAAGTGAGGAGAAAGGTCACAAAGAAAGATTTTGTCAAAATTTTGGAAAGACTCCTGGCTTCCACTATGCTTGAATCAGTAGAACCAGCTTTATAAATGTCACTGCATGAGATGGGAAGATATTGGTATTGGCACAGAGAGAGCTGTGAAGACTGATACTACCAATGCTAAAAATAGGAATTGCAGATCAGAACTTTAAATTGGCATAAGAAAATTAATAAGTATCACCTCAAAGCTATCTTTCCTACAATACAATTGCAGGCTTTGATCTTACCATTTTAAGTTGCACTCATCTGGCACTCATCCATCATCTGGCAGACAATATATATAGTAATTGACCATGCTAATTGAATGGCATTGAAACCAAGAGATAAATTCCATATGCATCCATACAATGAGAATATCATCTTCATGTCACAGTTCTACCTACAACTCAGTTACCAACTCCCAATTCTTGTTTATGATGAGGAATAGATTTATGCACTTCTTTCTTCCTGCAGCCCATAAGTATTAGAGAACACAAACTGAAAACTACTTCTACTAGTTCTTGACTTATCCATACCTGAATGAAGATGCCTTCTTTCACTTTTGTATGAATTAAAATCTCTTTAGAGCCACAGTGCAGATACAGGACCAAAAGACTGAGACTGGATGGGGCCTTTGGAGATCGCCTGGTCCAACACTGTGCTCAAGCAGGACTGCCTAAGGCTTTTTGCTTAGGATTCGTCTAGACAGCTTTTGAGTATCTTCAAGGGTGATGATTTCACAGCCTCTCTGAGCAACTTGTCTATCTCTCTCACAATAAAAAAAAATGTATCCTGACTTTCAGACAGAGTTTTCTGTGCTTAAGTGTATGTTCATTGACTCTTGTCCTCTCACTTGGCACCACTGAAAAGAGCCTGGCCATGCTATGTTTGTATTGTACCATCCCCCATTTATGCACAGTCATGAGATCGCCCCATGAGCATTCTCTTCTTTGCTAAACAGTCCCAGCTCCCTAAGCCTTTTCTCATAGAGGAGATGCTTCAGTTCCTTAATCCTCTCTGTACCTTTATTGGACTCTATCCAGTGCATTCATGGACATACTTGTACTGGGAAGCCCACGACTGGACATGTTGTGTAGAGTCATGTGGGAAACTTAATCCTTCTCTTGTATGAATGCTGTGTGCAGTTTAACAAAATAAAACTCAGCTAATTTATATATAAAAGTCTGCACTGAGATTACAGTAAGGTCTTACTCAGGTTCTTCTCTCACATACTTCAAGATGTGTTTTGTGATTTTTGAAGAGGAAATTACTTGAACAGTAGCCTTTTTTCATATTGGGGTTTGTTTAAGAGAGAATGTTTCTGGCAGAACTTACTGCAGAAGCCTGATCCTTTGCCATGCTGAGCTCCTCTTTCAGCAAGGTGGCCACTTTTGTCTGACTGAAGTAGCCAATGTCAGCAAACCCCTTCCAACTGAAGTGCCAACTGCAACACAAAAGCCTGGATCTAACCATTAACCAACCAGGTTACATTGTGCCTGGCATGAATAAGTTTAGCTCACCCAACTTCTCACTGTTTGCAGCATCAGTTCCAGGGGAATGGAAATAGTTGGTTCTTTTCCACTAGAAAAAAAAAAAAAAAAGTGAAGCAATTTTTCTTAAGTGAGATGCATAATTTGGTGACAGCTTAAAAGAAAGCCAGGGACTCAAGTGCCAACTGTATTCCCTTACATTAATGTTTGTCAAATTAAGTGCCTCTAGTGTTTCTTAGGCAACAAAAAATTTACCCTTGAACAGAAAAAATCTTCAACAGAGTGGAAATACCCCACAAAGGACAACAATAAGTGACCCTTTCTTTCATCACATCATTTTATATCTCTCTTCCAACCAAGATGCATCTGTACCTTGACCCTTTCTTCCATAATACATGGAAGCAATACAAGACAACATAATCACATCATACTTTTTATATATATCCCTACATAATTTTGTTGAGTTTCTCCTCAACATTGGGAAATTTGCCAGCGGTCTTCTCCCTTTGCCTATTTTGAATTTATGTATATTTAGTGACTAATATTGTACTGAATGTCATGGCACTTCATGCTGGTGGCACCTATCTACTCTTCATATATTTCTATAGAGAGTTGCTCTTACTTTTTTTCCACTTTTTAAGATGAAAAATAATGGTAAGAAATGTAGTGTATTTCCAATGTATCATTTTTACTCATAAAATTTTTCTTAGGAATGCAATGTTTCTGCAAAAGTGCAGAATCTTATTCTAGCAGAATTGATTATAAAACTGGACACACTTGATACATGTTATTATTTGAATCTGATTATACAAATTAGGCAATCTGAATTGTTATCTATCACAGCATTTCCAGACTTGATTAAAAGCACTTCTAACGTATATTGTAATCTGTACCCATTACATTGTGATAATGTTTCACATGAGGAAGTAGGGGAACAAACCCTACAAACTTCTGCCTTTAACAAAACAGCTCAAACCCTCACTTTGAGTTCATATCTGAGGAAGAAAAAAAGCACTGTATAGTAATAATATCTTAAGAACAGTTACTAACAGTGACAGAGAATTTGCTGGAAAGAATCTTACCTATTCTCAGTGGTTTGAGGTTGGCAACTACTGAGTTGGTGACAAATGAAAAGTAACCTGATTCCAAGACAACAGAATAAGAAGGAAGAAAAAAGCTAATTTTTATTTGTTTCAAATGAAATGAGATTTTGAAAGACCATCACAAAGTACAGACAATTTCCTGAACTGCTTTCTTAATAAAACTATTTACAGAAAAGTATGTTGAGCGATTACGTATTACCTCTCCTTCATGATGAGCAGAGTTTCAAGAAACAATAGCAGAAAAGTAGCTGAGCCAAATAGTGCTCTGATCTGCATCACTGTGAGCCTGCAGTTATACCTCTGACATAATTTGGATTTACATGGCCTTACAGAATTTTGTTGTCTTTAAAAATATGGAAAGATGGTTTATGCCTCAGGCCATTTTTAATCAACTCTGGCTGTACCAATTTCACAGAAGGTAGGCTGATGTTAATTTTTTTTTACCCTTTCCTGGCAGATGTCAGTCAGAAGAAGCTGAGCATAAATATTAACAGAGTTTCTGTGGAACCAGGTAATTTTAAATACAGCCTGAATGGTTTGACATTCCCTGCTTTTTTGATAATGCTATTCTATGTCTACCAGGATGTCCAAATACCACATTTTTTTGTTTAGTCCATGCACAACAACGTGGCAAGAGAAGAAGGAAATGAGATTTTAATCTCTGCACAGAACTTTGAATCATAAATGTAATTTCAATGGCAAAGCAAAAAAATGTATGCAAAAGCAAAGGAAAAAAAAAAGTACATTTTGGTAAGACCTAACCTCAAAATTTTAGAGAAAGTGATCCAAACTTGTGCTTCAATTTTCTTTATTTATTTCAGTGTAAAAATAGGAAAAAGAAGACATATGGCAAAAAAAGATTGTCCAACAAATAGTAAAATGTGCAGCTTATGAAGATAAACAATGATTCAATCTGCAGTATTGAAAACATACCAGTTCTAGGATGCAAATGTGCTTTCATATGAAAAAGAATTAACTTACTTCTATCTTTTAACTTTATTTATAAAAATAACTTGAATCCTCTTTGAAAATTCAGTTGTTTTGCTGAGAACCCTCACTTGGTGTCAGGACTCAAGGTATCCCCTTTCAGCTTAAGTTAAGCCTTGAAAGGATAAAATTTGCCAGAACAGTTAAAACGAAATGTTCTTGAACTATAAAAGCTCCTTTTTTCTTTCCTTTGCATTCTCTCCAAAACCAGCACCTTATCCTAAGCGCTATTTTGGTGCATGCTGATTTCTTCATTACATCCTCTATTAACTCTCCAACCAAGGAGGTCAATATCATTAACTGTTTCCAGTTTCAACTCATGAAATCTTAAAAAGAAAATAAAATAATAATTTGGATATTTCCTTAATCCCTTAGAACTTACAAGTATGTGTTCTAAAACAATGATTTACAGATAGCAGCTTTGACACACATTTTGCATGTTAATTTAAATTGTGATAATTAACTCAGACAGTAAATTATTGACTTACAAAACTGTTTTTTGAGCATAATTGATCAACAAAGTACTGGGAGAAGCACTGGATTCCATATTACTGCACCTTTGAGTTTTTAGTCCGGGTGGGCTTCAGCATCCTCACTTGAAAAAATTATTTTCTGTGCTGCAGACTTCAAGGGGCTGATGAAAGTGTGTGGGCTGGTTTGGATGTGAGCCATGCTTTTTCCACACATCATTGTGTCTCCTGCACTAATGACTCACACCTGCACATGCTGCTATCTGATTTCTAGACAAAGCTATTTATAAACTGGAACAGCACTGCCGAATTCTGGTGGTGTAACTATAGCAGTCATTATTTACCTAAAGCGCTTGTCTGTGAAGCACAGACAATTTGGGGACACAGTTCCCTCGCCTTTGAGGAGCCATGAAAACTGGATGCAGCTTCTCCCTGATAAAACCCACATTGCAATTTTATCTTGCAGACTTCTATGGATTTGATGTGGTAACATATTACTTTTCACATGGCTGCAAGATAAACACAGGATTCCAGAGTCACACACACAGAGAAAAAATCCATCCTATCTTCTCTCACAGCAGCTAGCAATTATTTCCTACAGTGGTTTTTTATACTTGGAGACTTGCATGTTGCAGACTTTAAAAAAAAAAAAAAAAAATTCAATTCAAGCAAAAATACGGTTCTCCCAAGTTTATGATTACAGTCTTGCCTACAGTGCCTCAGTCAATGGTCCAGAAAAATATTTAAATTTTCACATTACAGTCTCTGCCTTTAGACACTCTTCACCAGTGCTCAGGCTTTTCTAGCTATGATTTTGAAAGCATCAGCATTTGGTACCAATTATATATCTCTTTCTCCTTTATCTGCAAGTTGCCATGAACTGTTCTTCCTACAGCTTCACGTCAGGCCATTTGTCTTCCTTTCTTTCTTTGGGGCAACATGGTGAAGAGCACAGAAGAGGAACAGTTCAGAACAACTGCCTAAATGACCTCTCAGTGAGAAGAGCATTATGAAACATACAATGGGTTGCATCCTCAGAAAGAAAAAGTCATCTGCTGCAGTGTAAATTTTCAAAGCTATTAATCTCATGCCTAGTAAGCACACAGCATCCTTCCCCTTAATTCTGAAAATCATATAATGATTTGAATCTTGGAGCGAAGTGATCATATATCTAAACAAAGCTCTGTTTAAATGAAAAAGAAAAAAAAACCAACAAGAAACCAAACAACAGAGTCTTTATACAGAAAATCAGGTATATCAGCAAGCCCATTCCTGTCACTTATAGGCATGAATTTTGCTTTCAGCAACATAAGGTTCTTCCACACATATACTTATTTACAGTTCTCACTGTGTGCCTCAGAAGGTATTGATATTAATATGGCTGTTCAATGGCACACTGGAGAGCATTTGATTTCAGGTAGCTGAGTTGTGTTCAGAAATCAATATGCTGCTGTCTTCCTTGGTGCAAATTTACTGATGTTAAGGGTTTGCTTCTGCCTACATTATTAGCAGTTCAATAAGGACAAATTATTTTAAACTTTTACAGATCACTCAGCAAAACGAGGCTTTGCTTCCACTTAGTATCATAGTTAATTAGCCTTTAAGTAGTATCAGAGTTAATTTAGCTTGATTCTGTAGTACCAGAGGTCAAAGTACATCACAAACTGAGTAAGGATATCGTGTCTTTACGGTGCAGAAATAGTAGGAAAACTATTTCCTTTCATCATACAGGCTATGCTCCCCTCACAGATATTTTAATAAAAAGTGCAAGAATAGAACAGTGTTCTTTGATTTGATTAGAGTTTGAGTAGGTTTCCTCTTTTTTTATCTCCATAATTTTGGACTGCACAAATTGACATTAATCAAGCAATGAATACTCACCAAGGCAAGGCTGTCTGATCAAGGAAGTGCCTTGGGTCACACACCCCTGCCTCTCAAAGCTGAGTAGAAGTACAACAAAAAATTCAAATTCGGTTCACTGCACTTTTGTCCATATTTGCTCTCCTGCTTTTATTGGTTTTCCATGAGTTTAAATATTTTCCCAATGTCCAGTATTTCTTATCTGCTTAAGAAACTATCATTCTCAGAGTATCTTTTCATATGCATTCACTCTTGTTCAGTTCTTACACCCACTCATTTTTCCATCTTTTCTATCTTCTTTTTTAGTTTATTCTCTTATCAAAATTATTATTTTCAGCTTCATTTCTGCTTATGAAGCAATTAATTTATCTAATATTTATCAAAATAAATAATGTCTTTAATTCACTAGGTACTATTTTTTAACAGTATGAAATTCACTGCTTCCATAAGGAAAGTATTTTCTTAATTCATGGAACTGGAACAGCCTAAGAAACAATGGATTCTCCAGTGAATTCTGGAGGCCTACCTATCAATTGTCCTGAAATACTACACAGTCTTGTAAATGGGATTTGTTCCTGCTACTTTCTCATGACAAAATTTTTACCAGTACTTGTGTCACAGTGAATTTTATGTTGTTTTTAGCAACTGAACTCAAAGCATAAATTGATTTCACTGAGAAAGACCAATAGATGGTGCAGTAATATCAAATGCAAAGAATCAAAGAACTCTATATCCTTATACAAATTGCCTAAGGCATTTTATAAATAAAAAGCTTGCTGCAAAGACTTTATCGATTCTGTAAACAGGTAATTTTTAATTTGTAACTGTAAATCTGATTTCATATGCTGAGAAAAAAAACCCAAGAACAAAACCAACCTAACTAAAAAACCCAACCCTTCTCCCACCAAACCACTGGGGGAAAAAAAATAACAAAGACCCCCCTACACACACCTTTACAGCCTCCTGTTTCTCACAGCAACTAGCCTTTTCTGGCATTGGCATTGCTGCTCCTTCCTTCCCCATCTACCAATTTTTACCCCTGTGCAGATTCATGGAAAGCCAAAAACCAAATCCATGTTGGTAGGGAAAAGGAGGCTCCAGAGCACAGGATTATTTCTGATTTTATCTGCTTTCATGCATGTGGCTGGTGGGCAATCTCTGCACCACCAGCTGTGTCACACGATCTCACTGGTGGCCGAGCAGTGCCACTTGTGCAGAGCAGCACACGGTCCCCACAAACACTACAGGGCTATTCCTGCTGGCTGCAACAGGAACAGCAAACAAACGCAGCCTAAATGCTTGGAGTGCTTTTGTACCTCTCCCCAGACTGACCTGGCAGATCAGTCCCTCACTGCTCTAAGGACTGTCCTTAAACACCTGAGTATGGCAGCTTTACTTCTCTCCAAATACTCGTCTGTCTACTCAACAATTACACTGAGTTCTTAATTTCCTTTAATCAAAATCACTTTTCCTCATTATAGGTGCAGTTATGCTGCCTTCAATGTCACCATCTCACTCGGAATATAATCAGCATACAACTGTTTTCTCTTTTTTAAATGGAAGAGAAGATTAGGTCCAGTAGCCAGGACACATAGAAATGAACAGTCAGCTGTGGTTTCTTTCTCAGATCTGCCAATGACTTGGGGAGTTACTGCAGGCTATTGCTTCTAAATGAACATCAGTAGAAGATTTCAAAGTACCATGAAATCACCACACTTAAAATTACAACATGCACTTTATTAATGCACTTTCTATTGTATTGAGCAACACAAAATGAGTGAAAGGAGTGCAGAACACTCTCTTACTGTGTCCAGTTCTGGGCACCTGCGTCCAAGAGAAGCATGGAAATCCTGGAGCAGGTCTAGTAGAGTGGCTCAGTGATTAGGAGACTGGAGCACCTCTCTTTCAAGTAAAGTTTGAGGAAGCTGAGTGGTGCTACCAATAGGACAAAATGCAGCGGGCAGAAAACTGATTCACAGGAAGTGCCGTGTGAATATGAGGAAGAATTTCTTTACTGTGTAGCCTTTTGAACATGCAGAAGTTGTTATGAAACCAAAAGATTACTGCCACCACCAAAACTTGTCCAGTCTTTGAATGAGAAGTGACACGAGTTCTATCAAATAGCAAATCCACTGAGACTCTTACCTCTGTCACAATACTTCCATCTGCCCAAGGCATAAGGAGAAAGAGAGATGCTAGCAAAAGCATGGCAACAGGATAAAATGGAATATGCTAAAGGAAGACAACACTGCTTATTGCAAAAATGGTGATGCAGCTGTTTAAGTAGGAGAAGAAAAACAAGAGAGATGTAGAATGAGCCACAAACTAGCAAGTGGAATGACAAATTAAAAGAAAAAAAAAAATTAAACCATATGAACAGTGGTTGGACTTTTCATAATACCCCAGCTGTGTATATCTCAGCTCACAGCCAAGTGTCAAGAATTCCTTTCCAGAACTTTAATGTGCAATAGCTTGTCAAAGAAAATATTTTCAAAAGCAGATTGAGAAAAAAAAAATTTTGAATAGACTAAAAAAAAATAGGAAAAATTCAAAGGAGTTTCTTCTTGAGAAAAAAACCCAAAACATTCACCTTAAACATCTAAAATGTGATCAAGCTATAAGCCACTGAAAAAATATTCTGTTGGAAAATGTTCAGCCACTTTCAGCATCTAACAAAAGGAAATGTTCAATTTTTAATAATTGATGATACTGCTATACTGAAGCACCAATACATGCAGAGATGCTGGATAACTTTATGGACGAACAGGGAGACAGCTATTGAATGCAAGCCATTTCTTGGATCGATAGCCATAAGACTATTTTTGAGTGACGATACCTGAAGCACACGTGTTGCTCAATGGAATAGAAAGTGCATTAATAATGCGCACGTTATCATGCCTCAGCCTCAGAAGAATGCTGAAAACTGGGAGGCAAATAAGGTGTGAGGCTACACAGAAAAGGCAGGACAAAGAAATGGCAAGCACTGTTTGTTGAGACATGAGAAGCCTCTCCTGGGCAGGTGCAGAGCAGAAGTACAAGTCGGCGCAGTCGGTCCGGTCGGATTTGGATCGCAAGAAGCGCCGGGCAGGCCGAGGCGCCGATGCTGCCGTAGCGGCTGCAGCCGCGGGGCGGCGCTGTGCGCGGGCCGCGCAGCCCGGCGGGTTGCGGGGGAGGCGGGCCCGGCCCGGCCCGGCGGCTACCCCAAAGTGCACGGCCACCCTGAGGGCGGCTAACGCGAGTTGTGCAACTGACACTTACAAAACACGCTGCCGTGCTGGAAGTGTACAAAACCAGCAGAAACGGGAAGCTATAGGAGAGGCATCCCTCATTTTGGGAGCCCCTGCTCTGTGCTCGCCTAAGTTTGCAGCGGTATCACCGCCAGAGAGGAGCGGAGCCGCTAGAGGGGGTGAGGCTCTTTCCTGGTGGCGCACAGTGCGAGCAGTGCAGGATGCTTCCGTCACTTGTCGCTGTGTCCTCAGCCTGGGTCTGCCACAGCTTTTCACTCCCTCAGCCTTGTCCTTTTCTGCCTCCACTTCCTCTCTCCCTGTGGAAAAACCTGTCTTAAAGCAGTAACAATTTCTATATCCCTGCATGTTCTTCTAAATGCTATTTAACAATCAGCCCATTCCTGTTCATTTTTTTTTTCTCTGTGAGAAATGAAAGTGATAAGGTGTCAGCATGGAGCTCTGGTTACTGCAAAAGTACAATCACAAGGCCACAGATTTGAGTATTAATTCAGTAATCCCACTACCACACTAACAGGAGAATTATAACCATGCCATTAGGCATGGCAGCGGATACTCGCAGCAGCTGCTGCAGAGACCTCTGTCTTCCAAGAAAAGCCAAATCAACTCACAGAATTAAAATATTGAGAGAAAAGGAAATGCAAAATAATTCCATTAAAGCAAAAAACCTAACGCAGTTCTGCTGTTGTAACTCTGCCATTGTAAAAGATACATCCAGATACACAATGTTCCAGTTATTGTTCCTGATATTCACTTTCATGATTCACAGTTATATTCAAGTGTTCACAATTATATTTATTTAAAGCCTCACTGTAACTTCCCATCAGAAGTACAGCAGCTACACCAGAAAAGCAGGTTCTGTTTAAAAATATTCATGAGATACTGTTTTAAGTTAAATACTTCCTGCTCCAACATCACATTCTACTACAAGCATCTAACATTTAATCTTTTTATATAAGCAAAAATAGATCTTAGTATTTGACTTGACATATCTATTCTAATAAAATCCACAAAACTGACAGCAGATGCAAAACAGAAGGCCATGCATATTATAATAAAATTAAATTAGAATCAATTCTGATTATTCATCTCTAGTTCAGTTTTCATTAAAAGAAAGTCTAAGTACCTGATGAAACAATAATTGAAGTATTTTGTTTTAATATTCAGGACATACTACTGAAGTATGACATCAGTGAGGAACATGATCACGGAGTACTGACTCAGTGGAACTCATTTCCATAGTCATTTTATTGAATCCTCCTTATACGCAGAGGCTGATCAAGTAAGTTTCACCATTCCTACTCTGAAAATGGAATTTAATTTTTAAATTATAATTTTAATGTTTAAAAGTTGTTAAAAGCTGTAATAGGTTCAGGGAAAAAAAGCCAAAAAAACCAACCAACAGCCCCCACCTCTTCATTTTTCCAAAAGTAAGTATTAATACAACAAATTCAAACTGATAGCTGAACACATAAAATGCTCAAGCTTATTTCCATAGGCTTTTATGGTGGCTTCTCATATCTCACTGGAATGGCCTCTGCTTCCTATGTGTGGTGATTTCCCAAAACCCAGTTCAGAAAAATAAAATGCTTCCCATTTCTATATGAACTGCTTGGTCTGGCAGCAACTACTGAGTTCATCACCCAGTGTTCAGATATTAATGAAATCACACAAAACTAGAGGTAATTTCTCCACGTATAGGGCAAACAACAGTCTCTATATTACATGTTTCCAAAACGTAGGTTAAATGCAGTTCCTCTAATTTGTTAGTGAGAAGCTTCTCTTCAATCTGCTGGTTTAACACTTCTGCAGGCAGACTTTAGCTCTTGTAAGCCATCCACACCTTCACTGCTCTAATTTTACCAACTTCTTGAAGTTCAGAATTATTTGATATTGTTTAAGAGACTAGAGATTAGAGTTTACCCTTGAAACAGCTTTATTATAGAGGTGACATTTCAGCTGCTGTGCATGTCCAGTAGGGTAGCATCAAACTTTGCCACCACTGAGAATCAAAATTTCTGGACATTCAGGATTAAAAGCTCATGATTTTACAATTGGAGTTGAAGAAGCCCTGAAACCCTAGGCTAGAGCAGATTATCAACATTGGTGATTCAAGCACAGAAGCAAGTACAAAGGCCCCCACTAGCTATATTTTCTACTTGGGGTGACAGAAAGAGAAAATTCTGATTGTGTTTATGGTAACATGTCTTGGCAAGATTCCTCCTTTCAAAGCCTCCTCTCCTCAGCAGGGAGCAGTACCATATTCACAGCTGTTCTGCTCAGTGGGGCAAATTGCAGGGCTGCTCCAGCTCAGACTATAATATGTGGCCCTGCTGGCCTGTGAGATATCCCACTGACACTCACCACATGGCAGCTAGGACATCCTCAGCTCTTGGATGTCCACAATCCCATCACTGCTTGGCACTAAAACCATGCCACAACACTGGAGAGCTATTATCAATGAATTTACTTTGTAACCATGACACCAGCTTTGCAAAATGCTAGTCTGTTTTTATACAGCAAAAGCTTTTTCTTACCAAAAAAAAACCCCAAAATCCAACACAAACCCCACCCCCCAAAAAAAACAGAAAAGAACAAGGTTTGTTTTTACCCATTCTATTACATGGACAGCAAGTGGCCAGCAAATTAATACTAAGGTTAAATCTATGTCAAGTTTAGTCCAAAGACTTTAGCCTTAATAGCTGTCAGTATAAATATTGTTTTGTTTCACTGAAAATGTATGTGGATAATTATTCTAAGTAATAAGGTTTCCCAGAGACCAAATTAACAATTAAGGGTCCTACTCAGAGCTTTCACAAAGCCCTGTTAAAGGAAACATTCTTCCTGGTGCCCCGCCTCTCTCACTATGCTGTTCACAGGAAACATTTTTCTACCTACAGTTCAATAAACCTGTTAAGAGTTACCTGAAGGGCACTGCATAATTTACTGCCTGCAATTTCTGACCACCATTCACTGTTATGAACAATGTGGCTCAATTCTCTTACAGCCAACATTTCAAGTACAAAAATCATCATAATATTATTTTAACCCTAGTTTAGTTCTTGCCAGCTATGCAAGAGATGCAAAATTATTATCATTAATGGTTAAATTACTTCAGCTTTCATAATTTCAGTTAGCTCCAGTCTAGAACATGTAATCTGGCTGCCCAGTAACTCTTAATCTTGTTGACTAAGTTTACTGGTAACTTATGTTTTTCATGCTTTGTTGTACGTTGGGGTTTCTTGAATTAAAAACACAACATCCTCAGTGATTCAGAGAGTTATGGAATCTTTCATATGAACAGTTTTTGCTAAAACTAACAATCAGCAAAACGAACTAGCTAATTAAGGAACAATTTTTTGGTTTTTTTTCTTGGTAATGCAGTGACAGAAAGATGACAACAGAAGCAATGAAGACATGCCCAGGCTTTCAAAAACAATTCTGGGCATAACTAAAAAGTAGTTTTAAAATGCTAAGAAAAGTTCAGTTGTTGTTTTATCAGGCTCAAGTATACAAAAAGTTGGTTCTAATGCCTTCTGCTTCTCCAGACATGAAAATACCAACGGTCAGAGCAGTGAAGAGGCACTGACCAGGGGTTTTGGGGAGCAGGCACCCCTCCTGCCAAAGCAAACAGATGACTACAGAAAAAAATGCTGCACCAGGTGGAAACTGGTGAAGATTTTTAAGACAAAACAGCTGGGATGAAAATGGATAGGAAATGACTTTTCACTCTGTTCACTAGAAGCAAAACAAGAAGGAATAACATTAAATTAATTAAAGTCATAGGGAAGTTCTTCATACAATGTGCAGGATATTGTGAAATTTATAACTTTTCTTACTTCAAGAAATGCTGGAATAAATTCCTAAGCAGAAAATCCCTGGAATGGTATTAAATACATAGATACCATGTGCACTCCTGAGCTGCAAATAACGGTACATTCTTGGGCTATATGAGAGCAATACCATCCCATACTTGCCTCATTCCAGGCATTTGCTTTTAGCTACTGACAGAGAAAGGCCCCATGAAAGACAAGGACAAGAGCTTTATTCCTTTGTGGCCACAGATTTAAACAGCCATTTCCCAGATACAGGGGAAACACATTGCTGTATCCTCTTACCAGGCATTACAGCTATATTGCTGCTTACATACTCCAGCTGCTGGGATGCAGACAGGAATTTCTCAGGTGGGCAATTGCAAAGTTAGCCTGGATGAGGGCTGAATTCCTTCTTATGTATAGTCAGGAGTTTGCTAGTTAAAGAGCAGCTACCCTTTTGCAAACCAAAGACAGCAGGGTGGCACAATTTTCATGGGAGTGAGAAACACTATAGGTAAAGCTGGGACAGAGATGTGAAATACTATATACAAAGCTGGAACTATTAAAAAAACTGATGAAATGGATTTTTTTTAAATTGTGTTGGTGGTTTTTAACCACATCTGTTCCAATAAGGGATCCTACATGCAAAGAAAGCAGTCAACAAGGCTTCAAAAGCTCAGACTGAATCAAAAAAAGAGGCAAATTATTTCCTTGTTATAAAGTAAGAATACTTAAAGTTGAAAATCTGATAGCACATATGGAACCACCTAATGCCATTTTTAGAATTATGCTTCTAAAGAGCAATCACTGTAAAGTGATTCGGCCAAGGGGATACTGTGAATCAGTGCTACAACAACAGTACTGTTTTAATTGCAGTTTCATTAAGCCTGTATTAATTTGCTGAAGGTCAGAGGTTGACTTAATTTTTAGCAAAATTATTTGCTAAGAAGTTTTCAACATCTCATCACATAACCTATCTGTAGGTTCTGATAGGCTCTGCATCACTATTCCAGGGGGAAATACTTTTGATGGCAGGAACTGCTGTATGAACATTTAATTCTGCTTCAGGTAAGATAGGCAATTCACAGGAGATGCAAAATGCTATTTTCTAAAAGTATATCAAGCCTTGAAGTTATTATGAAGAACATCTAGGGAGAACTGAATAGACTGACAGAAGTTCAGAAAACACTTCACTAGGGACCAAGTCCTCCAATCCAGCCCACAGGGCACATCTCCAGTAACTGTCAGAAATAAAGGTTTCACCAGCTGTTGACCACAAAGGTTTCCCCTTACATGCTTCTGTAACAGGGCCCCAGTGCAGATTTCACTTCAAGCAAACAAGATTTTTTTAATAAGCCATCTGATCAAAATAATGCACTTGGTTTAAGAGAATTTTGCCAAGAAAAGAAATACAGCTGAAATTAAAAACTTTATTCCTTAGGTAAAGGAAGAACAGGATATTCTCCAGGAAAAAAAAAAAAGCCTAAAACAAACTGTCAAACAAAAAACAAAAAATAGCTTTTCCAATCAATTCCTTATATAGACAGTACCTAGGTGCTACACTGTAACACAAGTACACATCATAGCTTTCAAGACCCACAGGCTTTCTTTCTGATGACAGATGTATCAAACAAAATTCTGATCCTCCCGAGCCTTTGTATTATTGTTGTTTTGGTATTCCAAGCTTTGAAGTGAAAAATCTATTAATAAAAAAAAAATAGTATTAACATCACCCTTTCTAGTTTCTAAGGTATCTGAGAGTTACCATCAGAACTGCAGAATTCTTAGCTTTTAGGCTTCCTGTTGAAAAATTTATTAACTTCTGATTGAATAATGTAGTATAACTGCACAAAGGCTCCCATGACCATGGCATTTGGTTGCCTTACCAGTCTTCCTCAGAAGCTGTTCTTGTGTTTGACTAGTAGAGATCTGGGGTCTTTTCTCCTGCTACAATGCCTTGTGAATACTAATGAGAGGAGAAAAGAGAACACAAGCTCCAGGGCTGTTTCTATATTTCAGAATCTGCAGGAACACCCAGCATTTCTCTTAGTCTGAAGGTACTACTGAATGCTTCATAATTCATGTCTCTGAATATATGAGTTATCCTCATCACTCCTCTGGATTTTTTTCTAAGAAGGATATAATTAGTAAAAGTAATTTTTGATAATGTGACTGCAAAAAGCATGAAGGAAAGCAGCATAGTTGACTGTGAACCTGTCTCCTCCAGTGGAAGCAACAGGAGCCAAAACTGCTCCTTAACCAATCTCTTTTCAGTGATCTGACATGGATGAATTTAAGCTTCATAAATAGACTTGGGGGTCTGCATTAATTGAATGTTCCTATGTTAGAAAGGAAGAGAAGTTTGATTTTTAAAAGCCCATTAAGTCAGCAGAGATTCTTTAGTCTAGTTTAGTGAGCTCTGAGTGAAATACTACAAATATTAGCCAAATGACAGTCAAGGTTTACAGATAAGAACTCTTATTTATTCAAGTCTCTCCATATTAATTAAAAAGATACAAGCACAGCCAATATGGGAAGAATCAACAGGTTCAGATTCCTGCTGGCAATTGCAGGAAGAATCAAGATGTCTTGTATAATAGGGAGAGTAAGGAAGGTAAGAACAAAACTCCAGACCCCACAAAAAAAGCCCATGGCAATTTGTCTTGAGCTGTTCCATAGAGGAAACCCTTCTTGGCACCAAATGTGACCAATTTCTAATTTGTTTTATGATAACATCTAGAGGCATCAAGCAAGTATCAAGAATTTAGTGTAATATGTACCGTAAACACACAGCAACAAAGCATCCCATGAGTTTAGGAAAATACACATTTATATTTGAAAAAAATATATGGTTCACTGAAATATCCCTGCAGCACATCTTAAGCAGGTTTCCATACCTCAGAGATTAAGATGTCCAATTCAAATATTAACCACCAGTCTCAAAACAGAGGTACTGATATAGGGAGGTTTTTGTTAAGTTTTGCATAATTTTCAAGTTCTGTAATTAAAAAGAAGTCTAGACTTTCAGCTTAACTTGAAAGAATGACTGAATGTATATAAAACTGAAGGAAGTCCGTGCAAATGTCTGTATGGCAGTCATTTTGTGCTGTTGGTTGCAAACCATTGGTGTTAAGCTGCCTTGATAAAGCAAATATCCTAGTGGCAAATTGCTTTAAACTCCCTCAGCAAGACAGTTCAGTTACTGTGATTTATTTTAATTTAGATTTGTGTAACATGTACTTTTCGAGAAGTGTGCCTAATAGACTATTAGAGTTTTCCCAGATAGCTGTGGTGCCTCAGCACCTTCATCCTTCAAATGCCTTCGTTATTTTCAGTCTTCTTTCTGCAAATTTGTCTCTTGCACTGGGAGATACATGACATCTGGGCCACATGATACCTTTGAGGATTATGCCATTTTTAAATAATAGCTTTTGGAATGTCACTGCCAAGCAAGAGAGCCAAGGCAGGTATCAGCAGGGGGTTGTCACATACTGCCATATATGGAACACACAAAAAAATTCTTTATCTAATTTGTTTCTCATTTGTTCCTTTGTAGTGGAACCAACAATTATTTTCAGGTGACTTTTTTTTTTCTGTAGATGCCACACATTCACAGAGGTGGAGTTATCATTTTCACAGCAGCCAGAGATGCTTGTGTGTTCTGGATCACTTCCTTTCCTAGTAGTTTTATTTACAGTTGATTACTTCCCTAAGATGAAGGAATGGTCCTTACTGACTTTAAAATTGCTATCTGCCAGCGTGACTCTAAGCTCATCATGCAAAAATTCACAGAAAATGAATTACCAGGTATAGCAAAATTCCTGGAAATAATTCATCACTGTGGTAGACCTTATGTAGGATATATTTAAGTTTTAATGAATATGGGCCAAGAAGAGCACAATAAATTGAAAAATTCAGAATCACAAGGCTGCTATTAGGAATGTGAGAAATAAGATGTTGGAGCATGAGAACACTTATCTTCAAGGCCCCCAAACCAAATACACATCAGATAAATCCTGTACTCTATAGACACAAATACTTCTTAATAAAACTACCCACAGAGCACAGAAAACAAATCGAGTTCTTTCTTCTCCCTCCCAGGTCTTACTGCATTCAAACTACTGGTTTTCCGCAAAACCAGCAGGGTTTAACTCGAGATGGCAGCCCTGGGTACCTTCCCTGCAGTCAATTCACTTCTCTCAGACGAGGAGGACGTCAGAGGCAGAGAGAACCAGGATGCCAATTTAAGTGACCATGGAGCTGCTTTGCTGTTTGTTAAGCCTCTCTGATGGAGGACTAGATTTGTTTTGGCACTGAATTTCAGAAGACTCTAAAGGGCAGACGGTGATTGAAACCACAGCCTGTCAAACTCTTGTTAGGCTATTCTCAGCAGTCCTGGAACATGTGTGACTCACCAGCAAACAGCACGTACCCTTAAGTGAAGCTTCAGCCCAGTACAGGGAATGCATGTTGGGTGCATAGTTCTTTCCAAGGCTTCGGGGCTTTTATCTCTCCACTCCTTGTCTGTGCAAATGAGCAGGTCTCTTCATTTGCAAAATACATGTAAAAGTGTATCTCTTACTATTTTTCAAAAAAGTTACCAATTACACAACACAGTGTAATAGTGATGACTGTTATGGGTAATAAGGTATTCTAATATTGATTGTATCAAACTGAAAATCTCCAAAATCAGTCTGTTCAATTGAGCCACTACTGTTGGGGTGACAAAATACACTGTGACATCTTTCTCTCATGCCTGTGGCTGTCATCTAATTCTGCACTTAAACAATGAATTGGCTAAAACATCCCTAACAACAAAAGGAGAAAAGAAATTTGGCAGTGGGAAACAATATTAAATGTGGAAAATTCACTTCTATTTCTTCTTTGTGCTGTGCTTTTAACACTGTGGTCAGATAGGTAAAAGAAAACCCTGAGAATTTGCCGCGAGAAACAAAACCAGAACTTTGCAATACAATATTCCATTTCAGATGCTGCAAAATATAAACTTGGTTACAGCTTGAGAGCATTAAAAACTCCTCAAACATTAAATATTTTATTTGCTATTAAATTCCTGAAAACAACTAAGAGTACATAAAAATGATGCTAGCATCTACTTAATTCTAATTGAAAACATAAGTCTTTGTTTCCTATTGACTCGAGACAGCAGTGCTGCCAAGAGACATTTCATTAGACAATATAGTCTTGTCATTTTATAAAAAAACTCCAACAGATTATTTTAATTGCTTCACACAATACTAAGAGAGGAATGACACTTGCAAACAAAAGCCAGACTCAAATGATACTCACATTTCTCTGAGAGGTTTTCAGGGGTAGGAAAAAGACTGCTAATTTACATTTTCATTTTCTAACCATTCTGAAGCTGCAGATTGTCAGAAGCTGTAACATCAACATAAAACTGCATATAGGTCTTTTGCCAGCTACTCACCAGGCTTTTCTGCAGAAGCCACCTCAATACCCAGGCTAACAAAGTTTCCTTATTCTGAAGAGGGTTTCTCAGTTTTCACCTGTCTCCTTTCCTCATAAACATCAATGTTGATATTATGGTTAAAAATACCTGTTTGCTAATCCTGCAAGGCAGTTCTCCTGAAACTATGTGCTCTCTTGCTTCCCAGAGGTATATCATGCTTTCTAGGTTACTAACTGATGAAAAAAACTTAAAATCATGGGTTTTGAAATAACAGCACATGTCAGAACCCATTCAATATATTCTTGAACAGTTCTAACACACACACTTATAACAGTATTCTAAATAACTAAAAACAAAATAAAGACAAAAAAGTATGGGCAATGTGCTGTTTTTTAGATAATATTTGATAGTCAATGAATGGAAGCAAATGCCTCAGCATCAGCATCAAATATTTAAACATTAGAATATTTATGTAATACACAATTCAAATAGTTACTGTTGTTTTGCTAGTTTAACATATGATAATCAAATGTAGGATCCATGTCAAAAGCTGTATTTTAAAGAAAATTTCCTTTACAAGGACACTCCTAAGAAAAGAAGTGCTGAAAACCCCTATTCAGGGAAGGTTTAATTTGCATTTAGCTACCCGTTGAGGCATACATTGATAATAAATCAATATTCAACATCCAGGATTCTCAAGAATCAAAAGTAACTCAGAAGCAATGGTTACACAAGTTTAGATAGCTTCTAAAGAAGGAATTTAAGAACCACTGGATAACTTCAGATAAAGTACCATGTGGAAATTGGGATTTATATTTAAAGTTAGTTATTCAATCTAAATCACTATGCTAAATCAGTTACACAAACACTTTGCAGAAATAAAAACCGAAAGGTAATTGTCTGTATTTTTTTTAAGTGGGTGTATAACATTAACTGCATCTGAATCAATATAGAACTTTTTGGAGGAAAAGTCTGCCTCTAACTACACTTCCACAAAAATGAGATTCAACACTGTTTCAATACACAGAAGAGTAGTTCCCTATTACATGCTTAAAGGAGATTCCATTTCTCTCTCCTGGGCTGACAGAGTTGCAGTTCTGTTCCTCCCCAGTTTGCTGCCCTCTACCATTCTCTTCCCCAGTCACATTTTGGCTTCCTGCACATTTTCCCTCCAAGGTTTGCCTTCATCAGCAGCATTTCCTATTTCCCCTGTCTTTAATTCAAGTCCCTTCTTTGCAGATACTTCTACTTTCCTGCCTTTTAAGCTTACTTTACTCTCCAAATTCCACTTTAGATACACATACCTGGTGTTCCTTCCCATTCTCTTTGTCCTTAAGTATTTGCAAGTCTCAAATATTTTAGAATAACAGATTTGTATATGCATAATTTCCTCTAAAATAAAATTTCTCTTGCATATGATACAGGCATTTATTCCATGGAAAGTATTAAGAGAAGATCTTGATTTTTCGAGTCAGCAAGCTTAGGAGTATCTCTGTGATAATTTCCTTCCAAACAAATTCTTACAAATGAAGTTTTCAAAAATAAAAAAAGTCTTCCTACTAAGGTCTACTACATAAAAAAGGTCTGCATAAGATTAACAGAGGAACTCAGACATTTAGAGAATTTTGTTTTTTCTTTCTTATTTCTATTACATTTTCTATTGAAAACAACAAAAATGTACGCTTTGTTATGCACTTCCAGAAAAACAGCATAAACACAAATGATGTGCTATTTACTAATTTAGATTAAGTTTCTTTAGACAAGTCTGCTGAATTAGAGAAAAAAATTAGAAAGCATGCAAAAGTAAAGGTAACCTTACCTTTTCATCATCATCAGAAAAAGGGGCACCTCCTGGAGTCTTATTTATTGCTTGGGCTACACCAATAATCTCTCCGTCACTATTTCTTATGGGCATGCACAAGAGTGACTTTGTCTTGTATCCAGTCAGTTTGTCAATCTCATCATTAAAGCGTCGATCCTTCAAAAGGAAATAAGGAAACATGAACATACATTTCATATGTGTAAGCATTCTTCAGACAGCAAAGTACTTTTGTCAATGTTTGATATGGTATTTTTCAGTAGCATTAGGCTGTTGTTTCTCTGTTATCAGCCCATTATTAGCTGTTTTATCTCACTTTTCTCAGGGGATCAGTAAAAGATTTACCGTTACATAATCATATTCACTGACATTTCTACCTCAATAAGAAGAATGTCAGCAGAGACTGATATCTGCCATGAGTAATGTGAGCATACATGCACATGTCTGCTAGGCCCTGCTGCCATTTCACACCATATTCTGTAGAGGCTCATGATGTCTCTCTCAAGTAAATGGAGACTCTTTTTGGCCCATTTCTGTCTGTTCAAGTATGACAGGTTATGTGGACTGGATCCAGTACAAACACGTTCCCAAAGAAATGAAGTCAAAACTTCAGCTCTTTCTGGAAAGCAAAGTACAGGAATGCCCCTGTTCGAAAAAGGCACTGTGCAGCAATCCATTCTCTGGAACAGTAAAGCCCAAATTGCAGATCATAAAGTACCTCAAAGGAGGATGAAAACTTAAGAGGTAGTGCTGACTATCACTTTTGTTCATCTTGGTGGAGCATAGTCTTCAACAGCTCTTCTATCAGCCAGAGAGGAAATTACTGCTTTTCACTGGCAGCAGCTCTGTTCCTCTGTTCACCCTTCCTAGGGGTGAAGTTAGCATTGTGCTGCAGGCAATAGTTAAAGCCAGCTCAGACTCTCCTAACATAAGGGAACTAAGCCGCTGTACAAAACTAGGCACAACTTTTTGTTTTCAATAGTTTAAACAATATTGACTGTGAAATAATGGCCATATTTGTCTCAAGTCATGAAAACAATCCACACCGTCCTTAATTTGGTTGTGATGAGCAATTCAATAATTTTTACTGATACTAAAAACTGACAACTTTTTTTTCTTGACAAATTTTTATCTATTTCCCTGTTGTAAATTCCACATGCTACAGAAATAGTCTCTTTACTTTGAGACATGATTTAGAAATGATCTATTTTTACCCATTATAAAGATTAATATATACATTTGGCTACTTTATTACTTACCACACATTTTCCAACATCTAAACCAGAAGGAACTAACACCAAATGTACCCAACAACTTCTTTGGGAGAGCCACAACTGCCATGATGGATGCTTTTTAATAACAGCATCAAGGATGCAGATCTGCCTGATCTTGTGATCTTTCCATATGCTTCTGAACACTTTTATATCGAGTTCAATAGAAGCTGAACTGTACTGCATCATAGAGAATCCTGCCTAGAAAGATACAGCTCTTCTACAAGAGAAGAAGGGAAAATGTGGTGCAATTATCACACAGTAGGCTTCACTAATGAATAAATTAAATATTTCTTCCAGTACTTCCTGGTAATGTCTGAGCTACTATTTAGAATACTTGCTGTTGCTGAAATATTGACATTTTTTGCTACTGAAGAGGCAATCCCTGCTCTACTAATTTTGTACCAAACAAAGCAGAGTACATGGGGAGAACACTGAAATAAAATAACACTTGAGTAGCAATACTGGTGTTGATTGACACCTAGTGGGTCTTACAAAGAAGTAAACTTTCAAGGGGCAGTTTAGCTGAAAAAACCAAAACAGCTGTCGGTCACACCAAAAGTGAGTTGAGATTTTCTCATCTGAGTACACTCCATGCATGTTGTATATGTAGTCATTGCCTTTCCAACAGGCCTCAAGCTTAACACAGAAAGTGCTGTTTGATCTGCAGGGTGTGCTGGCACACAGGACAGGGGCTGAATGAGATGCACACTGCACAGCTGGCAGAGTTAGCAATAGATGTAATGACCAGCTGTGGAGCCACTGCTCCTTCAGGGATGCTATGGAGTAGCAGAGACACTAGGGGCATTAGCAGCCTGAAAAGTGTTGGTATTTCCTTTAATGTACAGCTCGTTCCTGCTGCATTGCTTCTATTTTCAGGCAGATCATGGAAATTTTCTGTTTGTCTCTCTCCCTGGAACCTCCACCCTAGGAGGAAGAAGGGTATCAGATTATATCCACTGATGCTAGAGAACTGGATGACATTTTTCAAAATGGTGTTACATCTTGGAGCCGAAACTAAAGGTACAGTAGTCTAAGAAAATTAATGCATTTAATTAGAAAAATGAGGCACTATTGACAAAAACTCAGTAACTTGGTAAAAGCTGAGAATCATCAAGATGTGAAGTGAACCTACCCCTACTCTTTCGTGGAAAAGCATGCCAGACTTTCATTTGGGCGACATTTGAATAAGTGATGAGGAGAGACATATAAGTGAACAAAAATAAAATGCTGTTCCTGGCAACACTGATATTGTTGAACCATGCAATATGCACAGAAAACAGTGACTAAATGACCGGCATTATGTTCCAAACCTCTTATCCCCACACTCTCTTCTTTCTTTAGTTTTTGTCATAATAGGACATAAATGACAAGATCTAAGAGAGTGGTTTTACTGAGTTTAACAATACCAGTAAAAACTTTAATGCCCAGGTATGAGCTGTGATGGCCAAGAATGACAATATTTATACCCCACTCTCCTCACAGGGTAGCAACCTAGAGCAAAGAGGCCTGTTTAGCAGCTGACAACAAAGCTGGTAAATCAGAGAGAAGTTCTGTCAGACTGCAAACATTTTGAGATATACACTGTATTATCCCATATGTTGGAACAGCCTGCAACACAACAGGGTCTCATTTGCACCAGAGCCCTGGGCAGTAAGGAGTCCCAGTGTTTATGACAGCAATACAGCATTTGCTTTTAAGTTTTTTACAATTAAGACATATTCAGAAATCGGGGGCAGACTAGATAAAAGCTTTTGAGAGAGACTTCACATAATTGTAATTGTACTTACAGTATTTTCATACAAGAATACTCATTAATTGAGGCCTTCCACTGACTGTTTAAAGAATTACTAAATACTGCTTTGGTTCTATATAATGAGTTTTCTACACAGAGATATTAAAAATGTGGAGGCTGAGACATTTTTAACTGGAATTTCTCATCTGCCATCAAGGAAAAGTTACTCTGTAGGACAAATCCTATCCTAGCCTTAAGAATATTTACTGATTGTCAGTGTTGCCCTGTGAAAGGTGAAATAAAGACATAGAAGAGAGCAAGTGTGATCCATCAATCCAAGTGCTGGTAATCCAGTTACCTGCATAGGAACAGTGTAGTCCCAGGTTTTTGGATATATTTGAAGATTGCCAGTGAATGAGAACAGACAAATATCTTCACGGTTTTATTCCGTAGAAGACCAGATTAAGGTACAGAAAGTTTTTTTTCCATTAGGGTTGTAGAATCATATATTATCAGAGTCTCAACTTTCAGCTAAAATTTTGGCTTCTGAGCAGTTTTACCAACTGCTTTTCAGTGTTGATTTTCAGTTAAAGTTGGCAGTGCATACATTGTTAGCAAACATACAAGTTCCACTGAGCTTTTCTGGTTTTTTCAACATAGGATAACTCTTCAAACTTGAAAATATGTCTTTCTATAACCTTATTGAAACCAGTAAATTTTATCATTACTACCATGATTTAGAACAAAAGGGAAAAGTATAACCCTAACCAAAGTTAGCTAAGAATCAAATATTACAATGGAGGATGAAACTCGCTTGATAACATTTCCAGGAATTAAGTCTTCATGATGAAGCCATTTCCTCTTTTGTCAGTATCTAAGGAAAAGTGTTTAATCTAGTGAAATGCACCAAATGCCTCAGCCAAAGCTGACAGCTAAAAGAGAAAGATATTTTTGATTTTATTATTTGAAAACACCTTTCAAATCTTTTCATGACACAGAAGAGAACACTACAAAAATATTCGATTGGCCTGGCCAATTATATTTTACCATTTACAGCACCATTTTTTGCTGTTGCTTTGTTTTTTTTAAGAAAAGGGCTCTATTTAAAAAAATGCACACAAAGTTGCGTCAAAATTTCCTGGATTGTACTGTATTTAAGTTCCTAATTAAGTTGCTAAGATGCATAAAAAATAACTAATGCAAGTGTTATGACAGCATAGTTAATACCTAAGTATTGCTGCATGAGTACCAAACTGCATGAGATAGACAAGTTTGAGTGAATTAATAGAAAGCCAAGAGCCTTTACAAAATTAAAGAAACTGAAGCTGGAAGATTTCATAACTCAATTCACTTTCCTAATCACACTTCCTGTAAGTATAATACGTAAGCTTTTATAGAAAGAAAAAAAGAGCAAGAAAGCTAAAAGAGCAATCTAAAAGACAGCAAGTTCTCTATATTCAAAGCATAGCATTAAAAAAGATAAATAAAAATAAAAAAATTAGGGCATGCAGTCTGTTCTAGATACACTTTTCTAAAAATCACATATGGTGCAAATTACATTGTGAATAAACAGGAAACAAAACCCAAGCAATAAACTGCTAAAGGAGATAAGGGGAAACCTTGTAGACAAGAAACTCACATACAAAACACAAGTAATAAAGCAATCTCTGACAAGACTTCCATGTAAGGACTGCTGCAGCTATTCCTGTCATCTCCCCCAAAATCCCTAAATCCCCAGAGACAAAGGCAGCAGGAGAACAAACTAGTACCAGGCAGCAGCATTGCAAACCTAATTCTACCAAATAAATAACCACAGTCCAGTTATATTGTGACTATTTATACAGTGACAGCAGTATTTCTCATAGGAAAAAAAATTACTACAACAGATAGGACACATGAAACAGCTCAGCCAACTCTTATTTCTTTACTCCCAAAACAATTCTTATAAAAGGAGACAACATTGATCCTCAAAAGTTTTTAAGTTCCAGATTTAATACTAAGACCATATATAGTCTGAATTTATAAAGTAGCTTACTTTGTAAAAACAGAAAAGGTGTTGATTTGCAACAATGCCATATAAAACTTTTATGGTGTTTTTTTTTCCCCTGCATATGTCAGGAGTTTGGGGCTTTGTTTAGTTTGATTGGTGGGAGTGTCTCATATGACTTATGAGCCTTCTTTCTGAGTATTTTTTCTTTCTGAGTAATGTCCATTAGTTTGACAATGGACATTAGTAACAATGCATGTTTTTATAATTATAACTTGCACAAAATTAATGTGAAAAAATTAATATAATAGTCTTAAACAGGAAGAAAAGACTTTATAAGCACTAGCAAGTCTGCAAACATGATTGCCTAGCTAATAAGCATAATTACAGCTCATGCTTCATAGTCTGAACTGATCAGCAGTAGGGGTCAGAAAATATTTCTCTGTAGGACATTAAGCTATATCCATCACATAAGGATTTTGTTTTGTTCCTTCAAAACAAACTCCAGAGAAATGACCAATAGCACAACAGTGAGTCAAGCTGTGGCCTTACATACAGCAGATTCTGTGCACTTCCAGTCTGACTGTATCACTATTAAATAAATTGTTTACGAAGAAAAATATTTTCCCTCTAATTTTCAATATTTAGAGTTGACATCTGTGGTGGTTCTCCCTCCCCTCCTGTACCAGCCCTGACTGATGTCCCACTGGGCACCAGCTATAACCATGCCCATGTTCCCAGGGCTTAGTGCTGACCTCCTAAATATTAATGATTCTTTATACAAGACACATGGCTTTAGAAAGCTAATACTCTCTGAGCAAGGAAACCAACAAGACTCCTGGGTTTATCAACAGAAATCTGCACCTGCTGGAGATTACTCAGGGGGGCAACACAGTTTCAAGTGTTCCAGCAGCAGTCTCCTTGTGACAGAGTAGCAGCGTTTGTTATTGACAGAGCAGCACTCATGTTGAAGTGTGCACTCTAGAGACATGAAGCTCAGACTGCACAGTGTTGCTGTTGCCCTGTTAACACGTAACTCCCGAGCCATTACTTTAGTTTTTTTTTTCATAGTTTGCCAATAGGGTTATTTTAGAAAAGTAAAACAAATTAACTTGCATAATGATGCATGTATACTTCTTAAATTTGTTATTCTATAGAAAAGCTATGCAATAGCATACAACTGGAAATAACCAAAATGAAATATCCATTTGTTTTGAAAAACTGAAAGGCAATCAAGCAGAACATACAAAATCAATTACCACACAAAACTACAGCTTTACTCAGTCTTGTGCTTGTTACAGGACCTCAACTAAGATCTGAAGGGCCAAATCCTGCAGTTTTTTCTCCTTGTCACTGACTTGCTTTCATCAAATATATCTACTACTTTCTCAAGAGGAACTATAGGGCACAGAATGTCACCAGTTTCACATCTGTTCTACAAAGACATTTTAGAATGTCTGAGGCAAAAAATTCTGTACTCTTCAGATGGATGGATTGGCTGAGCAACAAACCAGTTAATGTCTATCAGCTTATCAAAAAGAAAACCACTCCAGCTCTCCAAAAAATTTTTCCTGCCAAAGCTCTGCAGGGCCAGCAGCACAGGGACCTGCTGCAGGAGTGAGAGCTGGGGATTAGTACAGGGACTTGTGACAAAGAAGCCCCACCTGGGCACCCTGAGCACAGCCACTGCTGGCCCACCTACTGCTCATCCCAAATATCTCAGCAGCAGGTCCACAGAGCACACCTGGGGCAGCAAGCAGCTGGTGAGGATCCAGGGAGGAATGACAGCAGCCCTAGGGGCCAGGCCACTGCCTGCCTGGTGGGGAGGCAGCTCACCTGCTCACACAAGTTGGAGGGAAGGTGTGACTCCTCACCGTGCCGAGGGCTGCCACCTGCAGTGTTTGCTGCACTGCACAGCCCTGTCTGTCCTGGGGATCCACAGCAGCACGGGGACATGAAACAATTGAGCCTTTGCTTTGGACAAGTGTCCCTGGTGTCAGCCACAAGATCCTGCCCCTGGCAGCATCTCCAGAGAGTCGTGGTGGACCTGGGAAGGTCTTAGGATGTCGAACACATCAGTCAGAAACTGCTCCTGGAGAAGACTTATGGAGTGAGGGAGGTGACAGAGACATCCTCAGCTACTGCCCTGAGGGCTCCCTGCCTTTCCTTTCCAGGACCTGCCCCCTGTGGAAAGATCCCTCCCTCCCAGGCCAGCACCACTGTGACATGAAGCATGAAGGCCATGTTCACAGCCAGTGGGCTCAGACACAGGGATAATTTCAACACCTCTTCACCAATTTATGGACTTGTACTTAAAATCTCAAGTTTTCCTAAATTTTGCATGATGGGCTGGAGTGTCCTTCTGTGCAAAGCACATCAGAGCATCTTAGTCTTTACTGTTGCAGTTATTCCCTGCCTTTCCCATGGTAATTCCTAGTCATATTTAATGTATAGCAAAGAAAATCTGGTTTTTTCTTTTTTTTTTTTCCGTATTACATGGAAATTTTAAAAACCACTGTGTATTCTGCTTGCCACGTCTTACAATCTTTATTCTCTTAAGAGCAACCTCTTTCCTTGTTAAGAGTCAACACTGAAATTCGTAGAGCTGTTGGTGCCACTGTCCAATGCTGCTGAGTAGAACTAAGCGCTGCCCACTTTCAGAGCTGAACCTCCCAGGGTTTTAGCTCTTTAACTGCTCTCTGAAACTGGGAGAGCTCTGCTGTTAATACTGCTAAGGACAAGCAGCTACCCTGTGTAAGGAAACGTGGCTCATGCCTCTTCTTGACCTTTTGCACCACAGGCAGCCCCACAGGGCCCTCCCAGGCTCGAAGGTGTGCATCTCTGAACAGCAGCTCTGCAATGCTGTCCTGGCACAGCTGGAGACGCCAAATGCTCAGAGCTCACCAGGAGGGCCTGAAAAAGATGATGCCCATGCCTGTACCTAGGTATTGAAGGATGTTTGAAACTTGTGCATTGACTGTGTTACATTTGGCCTCAGCTTGAAAGAGGTAACAGGAAAGTCCCATACAAAGAGAGCTCAGTTTGTGTTTTACTTTCCTTATTTCAGTTGCAGTAATGTGCTTATATTTTCTTTTTGAGGACTTGAGCTATATTGAAAAATAATTGGTCATATTTTATGGCACTTTCTCTAACTTACAAAACTCATGCCTTAGCATGACTCCATTTAATATTTCTCTATGCTACATGCATTAAAACATCCATCTGGTAAGCCATTTTTGTCTTATGTCTTTTAAAGCTACTTTTAAAATTCCGAAGTTAACATAAGATTGCAGAAACTTGATTCTGCTGACACTGGAAAATGGCAGAACACATATTTCACCACTTTCTGATATATGCTTACTATTCTAGAGGGTAATATTTTTTTCCACTAGTTAGAAGGTAGAGAGGTAAATTTGGTATGCTAATAAATTGTTGCCTAATTTTTGCACAGCTAATGGTATAACAATAACCAAACATTACTTGTAATTTAAAATGTTTATTGTTTAAATACTGCTCTAAGAGATGGAACAACATTTAAATTATAATTAATTTCAGCTAAACATCATGGATAAACTGTAAGAAGAATGGATGACATGAAAAAATCCACAGCTTCAAATGGGAAAAAACCTTAAATTTGAAAATAGCTTCTAAGAACTACAGATAATGGTCTCTGTCTGTGTACTTAAAATGGGCTTAATAGTCTTCATATAGGATGATGGAAGCTACACCTATTCTCTGTCAAAAGGCGCCTCAATGGACATTTAGCCCCCAAATTTACTTGCCAGTAAGATCTGATTCTTCTTCCAACATGTGTGCTCAAGATATAGTTAATTATTCCCATATGAAAAAGGAGTCAGAAATACTTCCCAAAATTTACATATGGGAGCATCCAAGGCCTTATTTTAGAACTTAAAGTGACTGAAAGTTTGATTTACAATTCAACAGGATTAATTTCAGGAGAAGCAGTTTTAGACTGGCTTCAAAATTAAAATGAAAGTATCTAATTGCTTTCCTTTTCTCAAATTCTCTGTACTGCTAACACTTGCATATCAAATCATGCATGTTGCAGCTAAAATTATAAACTCACTTTCATCAAATGACTTTTCAATGCAATAAATAAAGCTTTTAATGCCATGAATGAAATTGTGCAACTTTTGAATCAATTATGTAATATTCATCTGTACCTTTCCATAAATTATTTGTTGAATTCTCTATTGCTGCGAGCCTCCAAAAGTTTATTCAGTCAAAGCTGAACTTCATAAACTAAACTGCTGTGAGATCTTATATGGTCATTGATTAGTATTAAAAGAAGTTATTATTATACAGTCCTCAATATGTGATAATAATTCCAAACCTTTTATCTATGTATGTTTATTGAATTAAGAAAGATTGTTCACATGAGCAGATTATGAAAGTCCCATTTAACAGAAACAATCACCTGGACTGTGGAAAAGCCCCATCTAATAATTTTTTGTTGTATTTTTTCTTTTTAGAAGAATAAATGTGTAATTGAAATAGTATGCTGTCTCTGATAATGACACACCAGTCATTTACAAATACTTCCTGAAACAATCAGTCTGATGGGCACAGGGGACTGCCTGCATGAAACACATTACAAGACATGACAGCATTTAATTGTAATGTTGATTGCACTGAAGTTCCATTAATGTCAGTCATAGCTGACAGTACAAGCAGGCAACCCAATTTGTACTCAGTGGTAGAATTCCAAATGGTATTTGATCAGGCTCTGAGAAAAGACATGGTTGAATAACAATAAATTACCCAGTACAGTAAACTAACTAATTGATGATATAGAAAAATGTTTATCTAATTTAAATGTTTGTTAATTAAAAAAAAACAAGCAAAATAAGTTTAAATTAATCTAGAAGTTCCTCTGACCTTGTGTAAGGCCTTTTCTTGCCAAACAGCATCAGTGTAGAAACCCTCTTCAACGGACAAAAAAATGGTGCTCTTCTGTCACCCCTTTTCTTCAGCTCCACCTGACAAGAGTTCCTGGTGCTGCTGGTTTTTTATGTGACAGTTGATTAAACACTTTCATCATCAGTGGCAGAAAATAATATTATCATATTTATTAATTTTTAAAGTGCTCCATTGTGAGCACTACAACGATCTGAAATGGAACAGCAGTCACCTCTTCACACACAGGTACCTGGGCTTCCATAGATCTCTTTATACCATTTAATTAGAAATTACTCCTTTTGATGATGTACATTGGATGTATATCCTTGCCAAATAAGAGAAGATAAACTGTACTAACTCTGAAATATAACTGAAAGCAGGGCCCTGTTTTATTATCCAGCAAAACTTTCATTACAGTTGGAAGGTCTGAACTTTCATTTGCACTTAAAGCAAATCGAAGCAGCTCCATTGAAAGTTGGAAGTTGCATTTGATGTAATTACAGGATGGACTTGGATTAGAACTTGCCCATCTACTGCAACTAATGTACTTAGGGCTTAAAGATACAATGAATTGTATTATTTATGATATTTAAATTGATTTTGAATAAGAGCCAGACAAAAGTGTAACACAAATAGCACTGGGAATGGCAACTAGATGGATTGCTTTTCACTTTTCTCTGTGGATGAAACAGAAAATAAACTGTTCAAAGAAGCTGGGCTTTTTCACAAGGAAGTGAACACAAAATGAACAAATACTGAAGAAAAAATTTAAAAATAAAACTATATACGTCCCTAGGACTAGAAAACAATGCCCTTTCAGTGGCATTCTCGCATCCAAAAAAAGAGTGTCTGGAGCTATCCAGAGTTTAGAAAGAGGGATCAAGTTCCTTCCTAGCCAAACTCAGATATCCTTTATCTGTTTAGCAAGCTGGGACTATTGAGAACATACTGCTTCACCTACAACAGCAGCTATTCTGGGAATTGTGCAGTTCTACAAGTGAAAGTAACAATATCATATTGCAAGAAAAAGTGTGTAATGCAGAACAGGGAAAAAAATAAAGGAAGAAAGTTGAATTTTTTTTCAAAGGTGATCCAATACTCATTTTAGTCTGAGCCTTTTTACCATTCCCTTTAAAATGTGTGGGTTGGGAACCTCTGTCAGTCTGGATCTGTGTGGTTCCTAGAATTTTTCAAATATTGATTGACAAATAAATAAATATTCAGCCCCAAATGCATATACTCCAGTCCTTCTTCTGTATTTAAAACCCAGAAACAACCAAATCTTATTTTTCAAGTTTTTTCCTTGTAGTCTGCTGCAAAGCATCATCAGTTTTTTAATGTTTATTCTTTTTGTTATTATTGTAGGTTAAAATAAGACACTGGACAATGTTTACTACTAAAATTCTTTGAGATATACATCTCCCACCTTTCTCAAGTGTACCAAAATCCTAACTGAGAAAACGTGTCACTTTGTGATTCTTCATTTTGTCAAGAACCTTCAATTGCTGATAGTGTCTTACACAAATAAACACTAGAAACAGACCCCCGAAAGAGAGGTAAATTTCAAGCTAGGAAACTGAAGGCTCTGCTCTACATTGACACATTCGGGCAAAGGCTCTTCTGTCCCTGCTGAAGCCAGGGGTCGATGTCTGCCTTGAAGCCAGAACTACATTTTCACAATTCACACTGAAGCCTCTAAAGAAGTAAAAGGTGGGAAAAGTCTATGCTGGAGAATAAGAGGACACTGGCTATATGACTACTAGGAATGTGTTTGAAAACACATACCATGTGGGCTGAGTGGGCATATGCAAAGGTGAAAATATATGCTCTTTTAAAAGCAATGAGATTTTCTTCAGCAGCGGAGAGCCAGGGAACATTGAGACAGAAATTTAAGAACACCATCACTGGGACTGTCACGAGCATTTTTTTTTAAACTTTTCTTCAGCCGGTTCCACAACATGCTTTAGAAACACACGAAGCGCGTATCGCTCCTGCGAAATCCAGACCACTGCTGTGCCACTGTGGGGCCCCTTCCAGCCCCATCGGCCGCCCAGGCGGGGCTTCCCCTCCCGCTTTCCCCGGCGTCCCCCGGCCCTCGCCCCGCGCCCACGGCGGCGCTCCCGGCCGGGCCGCCCCGGGCGAGGCTGCGGCGGGAGGGACGCCCGGGGGAGGCAGGGCCGGGCCGGGCCGGGCCACCGGGGGCTGCTCGGTCCGCGCCTCCGCCGCCGCGGGCCGGGGGAGCCCGCCCGGCTCCTACCTGGTAGGCATCGGGAATGTTGACCGTCTCTCCGTGCTCCGCCACGTAGCCGATGATGCCCTTGCCCCAGGGCACCTGCACCTCGTTGCTGTCCTCGCTGGAGCCGCAAGGCAGCAGCGGGGTGCCGGCGTGCACGTCGAAGAACTTGGACACCAGGGTCTTCTTGCCGGAGGAGGTCCCCTCGACGAGGAAGAGGGATCCCCGGTCCGCGTCCACCATGAGGCAGACGAAGATGAGGATCTTGTAGCTGAGGCTGGTGAGGTCCAGGTCATTGGAGATGTCCTTGACCAGTTCCAGGAAGAACTGGCGCTCGTTGTGCTCCTTGAGGTAGCGCTTGTAGTCGAGGGCGGTGGGGGGGTACTGGGGCAGGCTGACGCGGGACTCCAGCAGGGCGCTGAGGATGTGTGCGGTGGTGGGGGGCAAGGAGCTGGCCTTCCGCAGCAGCGCCCGCCGCCGCACGCTGCTCAGCGGCTCCTGCGCCCGGGCGTGCACATGCTCGTCGTAGGTGAGGTTGACGTGGATAGCTTTGGAGCGGGCGAAGCTCTTCCGCAGCTCCTTCTGGGACGCTCGGCGCTGCAGCCCCCCGGGGCCGGGGCCGGGGCCGCCGGGGCCGCCCGCGCTCCCCCAGCTGCCGCCGGGGCCGTCGCTGCTCCGCCGCTCTTCCGAAGGGCCGCCAGCGGGGGCGGCAGGCGCTTTAGGGAGCGAGTTCTTCCTCTGCAGCCACTTCTCCACCAGCTCCGGGTGCCTCTCTAGGAAACTTTCCACCGCCGCCACGTCGAGGCCGGCATCGCCGGCGGCTGCCATGGTGCCGGCGGCGGGGGCGGCTCAGGCCGCGGGAGCTCCCGCGCTGGCCATGCCCCGCCGCCGCCACGTGCCGCTGCTGCCGCCCCGACGGCCGCCCCGGGGCACGGGGGATGCCGGCAGCCCCGGCGAGGGGCCGCTTCTGCCCCTAGCCCGGGCTCCCCCGCAGCGGAGCGCCTTCTTCTCACCTTCTGCTTTCACCCGCGACCTCCTTTTCCTGCCCACCACTCTTTATTATCATTAATTGTAGTATTTGTATTTTTCTAGATATTTTTTGTGCTTCCCGGTCTTCAGCCTTTCTCCAGCTCTGACCTCGGTTCCCGGTTCTGGGCCGCTCCCCTGCTGAGTCGGGCAGGCGGTGCAGCCGCACCTCTGGAGATGCTCCGGGAGCGCTCGGGCAAACCTCTTCTGCCAAGTGCTGTCAGTGCTGGCGGCGGCTCCTGCGTAAGCCAGCCGGCAGACCACTGAGAAGGAGGGAGGGGAGGACGCGTGAGCCGAGTGGGGGGGCAGGCGGGGAGGAGGGAGGGCTGGCGGGAGTGCCGGCAAAGCCCGCTGCGGTGGGGGGGCACTGCCGCCCGCCTGGCAGCAGCCGCCTCGGCAGGGCGGGCGGGGCGCGCAGCGTCCCCCGGCGGGAGGACCCCCGGCAGTGGGGGGCTGTGCTAGGGAGTTTCATTCAACAACATCGGGGGGAAAAGGAGGGGCCTTTTGTCTGTGATGCTCGTTCGGGGAGGGGACGAATCCCGCCGCGGCCCCCGCCCGCCGTCCGCGAGAGAGGCAGCGGGAGGCAATGGGAGCGCTCCCGTTAAGGAGCTCCCATTTATACTATTGTCTGAGCTGCTTCAGTACTTCAGGTGACGAGCAGAAAAACGGAGCCCTTCCAAGAATCCTGAGTGAATTCCGTTTCTTGAATGACTGAGTTGATTTGCGGATAGCCTCACCCGTGCGGAGCCCCGGCTCTGCCCGGCGCGCACGGCTCCCGCGGGGTGTGCAGGGCACAGCGGGCTCTGCCCGCCCGGAGCCACCCGGGGCTTTCTGCCGCAAGCCGCTGCTCCCCGGGGCGGGAGCGGGCGCGCCCAGGCGGTCCTGGGTGTCCGCTCGGGCATCCCCGGCTGCCAGACGGAAAGCGACCGTACCCACCGCCGGCAGACGGACAAGGGTTATTTTTATGCGCACGTGGAGCACTTTTCATTGCTATATCAATGCCTACGCATAAACGATTAAAAAAACAAGTCATGGATCTTAACACGTGAAAATGTTTTTCATGCGCTCACCAAAGACTGAATGAAGGCGGCTTCAGAAATTCATGAATGGGAGCTCGGGTGGCTGGGAAAACACACGGGCAAATCTTCAACCAAACGAGATTCCGACCTGCCGAGGACCCTGTCCCTGCGGCTGGCCCTTACGGGGCGGGGTGCGGGCAGTGCTTGCAAGGAGAGGGAGCACTTTTGGGACACGTGTCGATAGCGCAGGCTGGTGCGTGGGCGTCAGAAGGGGAGGAAGGGCTACGTGTGTGTCCAGGAGGACCGCCGCGTCTCCCGCGGCAGTAGGGGTGACCCTCAGGGACTCCGTGTAGATGCTTCGGCTTGAGAAGCTCGAAGGCAGCTTACGAAGCCACAGACAAAGGATTTCGCCCCCCAGTCTCGGTGCCCGCGCCCTTGCAGGCTGAGCCGCAGTTCCCTCGCCGCCGCGGGTCCCGGGCCGCTGTGGCGGCAGGGCGCCGTGCTCGGCCCCGCTCTCGGCAGGGTTTCATACAGCTCTCGGACTCTCCCCGCCGCGCAGGGACGCTGCGGCAGGAGGACGGGCGCTCCATTGAGAAACCCCGGCGCCGCCGGCACACACCGGCACTAGGGCAGCGGGGGCGGCGCGCAGGCGCGGGCAGCCGGGGCGGGGGCGCAGCAGCCCCGGCAGCAGCCCCGGCCCTCGGGGCGGAGGAGGGAGCGGGAGCCAGCCGGGCCCCGGGCGGTGCGCGGCGGCGGGGAAAGGTCGCTCCCGGCCGCCGCACCGTGCCCCGCCCGACTTGCGGAGGGCGCCCGGCCGCAGAACGCGCGGCGAGTGGGCTGCGGGGCGAGGGGACGGAAAGCGCGGAGGTCGGAGGACGCGCTCTAGGGATTCGTCCCCGAGCTGCCCGCACCTCTAAAGAAGCCGAGCTCTTTCCATGCCTGGTATGACGAGGCAGCGTATCTCGGCCGGGCAAGGCTCTGTGAGCGTTTCCGAGCGCGCTGCCGGAGCTGTGACGCAAAGGGGTTCGCAGCCCTTCGGGCTGAGCCGCCGCTGCCTCAGCGCCGGTGGCGGCCGCGCCCCCGGAGTCCCCGAGCCCCCCGGGGCTGCCCCGAGCCCGAACTGCGTTTGCGGTTTTGCAGAGCTGGCACAAACACTCCACTTGCACAAAGAAATCGCATGAGCTGCTGGAGGCCAGCCGGGCTCTTACCCCCAGCTCTCAAGCGAGGAACTTGGGTGCGAAATAATTGTATGCAGATAATTTTTACCATCTTACCGTGGTAAGGTTTGGTTTGAGCACGCACACCAGTGTTTACTACAAAATGGCTACTATGTAGCATGTAAACACTAAAAGCAACTTAGTGTTTCTGTAAGCCTAGGTATAAACTAGGTCCTGGGATTCTACGCATAGGATTTGACTGCATCAGAAATCTGCATATTGACAATCTCTCAAATAGCAGTCAAGACTGAAGAAAGTAAAACTGTAGTTGTCTTCATTACATGGAATAAATAGTGAAAATTTTGCTGTAACAGTTTAATTGTAAAGAACTGTGGAACTTGAAATCCTTGGACAGATGAAATGTGACAAAGATGATCACACTGGTTTGACTGTTCTATAACTTGCACAGGCTTTGGACATGCTGTAAAAACCTGGATAAAACCTGGTTCAGAAGCTTGGCCTGGTGTGTGTTGATGGATGCTAGGAGAAAACCGGGGTCTCTGTTCTGTCTGCAGGGCGAGTTAAAGAAGCACAGTGTACACTAGGCTGCAGCCTTATTTGTTGTGGGAAGGCAAAAATAGGAAAATGGATTTTGTCAATGCCATGGGATTGTGCCGCTATTGTAATTTTATGGATATGCTGCAGTGAGGTACAAGCATTTTACATCTGATGCATCTGAGGTATGATGCACTTTTTGTCAGCAGGGGTGCACAATGCCAACTCAGACAGCAGTGCAGGCTTTAGGCAATTTCACCTGGTTTCCTCGGGTACAACATGCAGAAAAGCTCTAAGATGCCCTAAAAGAATCACAAGGAGAAATGTCAGTGCCTTTCTCAGGTGCAGTGTGTTTCTCTGTGGAATAGCACTCCTCAAAATGCGATTGGGAAAACCACTTGAGAAAATTTGGTCATTTGGGAGGATGCTTTATTACTCTAAGCAGTCTGAAAGAGGGAAGCAGTCCAGTAGTATCCAGGAGGATGGGATGATCCTTTTTGCATCATGGAGAGTTGCAGTTTTTTGTAGCATTTAATATACAACTCCTTACTGCTTCCAAACTATGTGAATATCTTTGTATCCCCAATAGGGAGAAGATACATATTTAATTTCATACTTTTTTTAAATGAGCATGAGATTGTCATTGAATTCCACAAGGCTGTGCTCCATTGAAGGGCATTAGAAAAAAGGCTGTCAAAAGCCAGTTCCTGGAATCTCTTGACAGAAGTTGAAAAACCATTATTGTTTCCTCCCAAACCTGCTAAAACCTGTCTTTTTCAACAGAAGCCTGCTCTTGTGTACTAAAGACTACTGCGATGACATAGTCACATTTCTCTTCTGTCCTTCAGAGCTGACTTTTCCCATTGTCTAAAAATAGTTACTATATGCTGATGATGTGTTGAAGGAAATTCCTATAAAGTGAATATCACAAAACGCTTCCTAGAAATCATGGCGGGGGGAGAGGGGGGGAAAGCCACACAATTCTAAAGCACTTTAGTAACCAGAAAAAAACCAAAACAACCCAAAGCACAGGACACAGGACTGTGTATGTAATTAATACCTTGATTCAATTAATGTAATTTATATTCAAGTAATATAAAACAATGAAACCCACACAGAATATTTTTCTTTCGTATGTTTCACTGTTTTTCAAAACTTCTCTGTGACAAGCACAAGAAAAACCAACAGTCATAGTGTACTAGTAGGGGACGGTATTTAGTCAAGCAAAACAACTGCAGCACATCACGAAGCCAGTAGGGGGTAGTGACCAGCAAACAAAATCTAAAAGCTCTTCACAATCAGAAATTAAAATCTGCCCATTGGCACTAATGTTCTGGGAAAGATGTAAACTTTCTGACCTGGTGTACTGAGTATTGGAAATTGTACCAATATTTTAATACAGGGAATGTATGTCCCCTCCAACACTTTACTTATGTCACCTCTTAGTTTTGCCTTTGTTTTTGTTTGGATCTGAGTAAAAAAATCCTGCAGCTTGACCTGTTGTACAGCCAAATAAACTCCGAAGTTTTGGTCCTGTCTTGTGCTTTCCAACTTTTCCAACAGTGTGGCACTGATAATATTCCTGAATAGAGAACGTTACTTTCTTCAACACAGCCGCTTTAGATCTACGGAAAAAGAACCAGATGTTATCACGTCCTTCTACTTGACAACTGCATCTGCTTACGTGAAACAGAGGGGGGATTTCTGCGTATTTAATTTGCTTGTGAAAAACAGCAGGCAGAACGCGAGTGCGGTGCGGGCGCGGAGCGGGCGCGGTGTGGGCGCGGCCCGCGCGGAGCGGCGGAGGCGGCGGCGGAAGGGGCGGTGGAAGCGGCGGCGGAACGGGCGGGCACGCCGGCTCCGCGGCGGAAAAGGCGCGGCCCCGCTTCCCCGCCATTCCCTGGAGCAGCCCGCAGCGCTCGGAGCCCCAGCATGGAGGAGAGCAGCGGCATCCGCCTCTCGGCCGAGTGCCTGGACGAGCCGCCCAACAGCCGCGTCTTCGTGGTGCTGGGCAAGGACACCGGCGAGGCGCTGATCCGGGAGCGCTTCTCGCCCTTCGGGGACATCCAGAACATCTGGCTGCTGCGGGACAGGCGAACCAACGAGTCCCGCGGCATCGCCTTC